GTTATAACTGTTTTACTTGTTGCAGTTGCGGTTCGATACAGTGACGACTCGGGCAACTGCTCTGTAACGAGTCAGTTGTGTGTCCTTGCTGTCGCGCTGTATTTGTCAGGTTAAAGGTCGCTGACCTTTGACTTTCGCGTAACCTCCAGCGGTAACTTCAACCTCCGAGGGTTGACTCGCTGGTGCCTCGATATGCTTTGCTTCGCTTGTGCCTTAGTGTTTCGACACGACAGAGGCGCTTAGGACCGATTGTTTCCAACACTCCCCTTCGCTTCTGGAGTGTCGCTGATGTGGCTCTGTCCAGTCAGCAGCATGCAGTATTCGAACTTCTGCTTTCCGAGCTTCTTGGTCAGGTAGTCAGCTGCCATCTTGGACGTGGGGCGGTATGACAGCTCGAGCCTTCCCTGTGAAAATGAACGAGAATGAATGCACTATGAAAGAGTTGGGTACAAGTACTAACCCTAATTGGGTTGTACCCCATATAGGCTACCCCACTACAGCCTACAGAAAAGCATAAGCTATAATGTTCTGACACACCCCCATAAGCAAAGTGGGGGAGTACAAGGGGTCACAAGACCAGTCAAGCAAAGCAAAGCGAAGCAAGCTCAGGGTGGATCACAAAGTCACCACACATTCCGAGCACAAGGTCAAGGCGACAAGGCCAGTTCATATGCAGGAGTACACATATATATAAAAAAGGCTAGACAAGCAAAGGCTGGTGTATATATATATATGTAACAGTACAAGCAAGGTCAAGAGGTGAGCAAGTGAGGCAAGGCAGGCACAAGACCCAGCTGAGTACAGAAGCGCTGATGATCACAAGGCGCAAGCGCCTTGGTGAAGTTATCAGCAGTGTTGGCCTCAAAGGCCACGTACGCAAGACGCAGCTGACCAGGCTGCTGCAGCTCACGAGCAAGGAAGTAGCGGAGAGCAATGTGATTCGTTCTGTGCTCCAGTCTCTGCTCTCGACACAAGGCCAGCATGGCCTTGTTGTCTACGTACAGCACTGGAGGAGAACGAGGCCGCTCCCCGAGGTCACTCAGCAGGTAGGTGAGCCAGCGAAGCTCCTGTGCAGCCATGGCCCCGGCGAAGATCTCAGCCTCACAACTGGAGCCGAGAACAGAAGACGAGCGGGTAGCCCGCCACGAAACAGAGTCGAAACCAAGGCTGAAGGTGTAACCCTGTGACAACCGCTGCGTAGCCTGGTCGTCAGCCCAAGAAGTGTCTGCGTGCCCAGTGAGGACCACTGGACTCTGCCCTCCAAGCACAAGCCCCATGCCCGACGTACTGCACAAGTAGCGCAACACCCTCTTCGGTGCAGCCATGTGCTCCGGTCTGTATCTCCCAGGAGCAACATAGCGTGCGAGAATGCTAAGAGGGTATGCAAGGTCAGGTCGTGTGCAGGTCATCAGGTACATGAGGCAGCCAACAAGCTCTGGGTACGGGCCACTCGACTCTACGGACTCATCCGAAGGTTGAGCTGAGAGCGAGTGGCGAGTAGGTAGAGGAGTGGCCTGAGGCGAGGAGTACGTGAAGCCGAAGCGCTGAAGGACCTGCTGCACCATGTGTGACTGAGTCAAGGTAATGGTGCGGCGTGCTCTGTCCCGGGTGATCTGCAAGCCAAGGTAGCTGCGTAGTTCACCCAGGTCTGTGCACGTGTGTCTCTTCTGCAGCTCGGACTTCACGTGGGCGCGTCCAGCAGTGTCAGCTGTGGCAAAGACCAAGTCGTCGACGTACACGAGGATGTAGAACGGCGGCAAAGAAGTGTTGGTGCGCAGAAACAGCGACGGGTCGGCAGTAGAGGGAGCAAACCTAAGAGCCGCAAGTGTAGTCCTCAGTGTATCGTGCCACTCACGCGGTGCCTGGCGGAGACCGTAGACTGGCCGCCGGAGGCTCCACTGGATTCCAGGAGGAAAAGACCCAGTGAAGCCAGGTGGGCGGCGCAGCCAGATCTCCTCGTGCAGGCTGCCCTGCAGGAAAGCTGTGCTGAAGTCAAGAGAGTGAAGCTCGTAGTCACGGTGAGCAGCTATGTGCAGCAGTACCCGAAGAGTGGTCATCTTCGGGGTGGGAGAGAAGGTCTGAAAGTAGTCAACTCCCTGCCGCTGACTGAAGCCACGAGCCACGTAACGCGCCTTGAAGACAGGCGGAGAACCCGGCGGCCGCTTCACCCTGAAAATCCACATGCCACTCACGATGTTCGCCCCAGGCGGGGGAACCTTGTCAACGTAGGTGCCTGTGGACTTCCTGGAAGCCATCTCCGCGTCCATAGCTGCCTGCCACTGAGAGGAGTAGGGCCCCTCTATCGCCTCCGCGGAAGAGCGCGGAGTCGGGATGTCAAGTGCATCCGGGTCTCCCTCACGGGTAAGCAGTACGGACACAAGATGAGGTGAAGCAGCAGCCAGACACTGGAACTCCTCCTGCTTGTCCTCAAGGACGTCCGTGCCAAGGGCACACTCACCCCTGACGGACGGAGGACAGAAAGACTCAGACTCAGCAACAAGACTGGCGGCGTAGTCTAGGCGACATCGAGCAGCAAAGTCGACGAGCTCAGCAACTAGGGCAGACGTAGCAGTGGGCTCAAAGGAAGGGTCAGTGACAACAGTAGCAAGGAGACGCGTGACAGTAGGACTGGCAGCACAAAGAGAGTCCGACTCCTGGTCGGCAAGAGCAAGAAGAGAAGACTCAGGAGGAGAAGGCAAAGGGGCACGCAGAGGAGCAGTGGTCGGATGCAGAGACATCCGGTGCGTGCCGGGGACAGGAGGAGGGCGCTGACGCGAACCACGACCACTAGTGCGAGCAGCACGGACAGGCGACGCAGGGCGAGACGCAGGCTCACGACTCTCAGCAAGACCTCCAGTAGGACCAGTGCAGGGAGACGGAGCAGGCAGTGGGGAGGCCGGCTGTAACTGTAACTGTGACGGGACAAGCTGTTGACACTCGAAGGGAGGAGGAGGACCAGTAGAAGGCGGGAGACCAAGAACCTGCTGAAGGAGCGGAACGAAGTACGGCCGAGGCCGCGCGGCGACTCCAGACACAGTAGGGACAGCACCAGTACCAGCATCACCTCCTGCTCTAGTACCTCCAGCAGCACCAGTAGCACCCCCAGCAGGACTGCCTCCAGGACCGACAGCAGTAGCCTCCGCGCCAACTCCTGCAGCAGCTCCAACTCTAGAAGTACCCGCAGGCCCAGCAGCTCCAGTACTCCCAGTACGAGCACCTCCGGGACCCGCGGCACCAGCACCCTCAGCAGCAGCAGTACCCGCAGCACCTCCAGCTCCAGCAGCTTGCCTCCAGCGCCGGGCAAACCACTCACGCAGCTCCTGTGGAGAGAGTGGCTCCCGGCGAGATGAAGCACCCGGAGAACCGCCAGGCACAGCACCGCCAGACGCCACACGAGCAGGCCCAGCTCCCTCAGGCTCAACACCTCCAGGCTCAGCACCTCCAGGCGTAGCACCCCCAGGCGTAACACCCCCAGGCTCAGCACCCCCAGGCTCAGCACTCCCTGGCTCTACACCCCCAGGCTCAGCACCCCCAGGCTCAGCACCCCCAGGCTCAGCAATCCCAGACTCAGCACCCCCAGGCTCAGCACCCCCAGGCTCAGCACCCCCAGGCGTAGCACCCACACGCTCAGCACCCCCAGAGTCAGCACCCCCAGACTCAGCACCCTTAGCAGCACCAGAGTCACCAGCGACCTCGACAGGCTCAACAGCATCTACCTGGGACACACCTGAAGGGGCAGGACCCTGAGGGGGTAGGGGGTCTACCGGGGGGGGGACTTGGCACAAGGAAGAGCGGTGGCGGGGGGAGGGACGGAGTGCGGTAGGGGAAGAGACGGTAGTAGGGGACCGACTCGTCAAACGTGACGTCCTGGGAGGACAAAACACGGCGAGAGGTAGGGTGGTAGAACTGCCACCCTGGCGCGTCAGGGGGGAATCCCAGGAAGACGCAAGGAGCAGCACAAGGGGACAGCTTGTCGAGGGAATCCCAGGAAGACGCAAGGAGCAGCACAAGGGGACAGCACAAGGGGACAGCAGAAGGTCGGTCGCCGACGCGAGAACGGCGGCTCGGCGGCGCGGCTCCGTCTGCTGTTCTAGCTGCTGCTTTCACTTGGCTAGTTCTCGACGTGATCACTCGTCGTCGTCGTCCATCGGATCTCAGCCGCGGCTACTGCCGTGGGACGCGCTACGGATCTCGCCGCCGCGAGCGCTTAGCTCGGGAGCGGAAGGATCGGGTGCAGTGATCGGCGGAAGCGGCGTGTTCCGCGGAGGTGTGCGCGCGGGGACGGGCCGCCCGCTTTCCTGCGGGCGGCAACCCCTCTTGAGGTATTCTGCGCTGCCCCTCCCTTCCCCCAACTTCTTCCCTCGTCTTCCAGCTATCACTCCCCCTCGCCTTCTCCGTACCGTTCTGAATTGCTTCTAACCAATTTGTCTGCTGCCTTTTCTGCTCCCCGTACCGTTTGCAGATTAAAGGGGTCGCCATTGGCGGTCCGCTGCGCCGGTTCTGGCTCGGACGGCATCAATTGGACGAAACCCGCCGACACCGCACGAGACGGCGCGAACGCCGGCACCAGCAGCGACAGCGGCGGCAGCGGCAGCAGCAAGGGTAGTGGCAGCGACAACAGCGGCAGCAACAGTAGCAGCAGCAGCAGCAGTTCTCAATCTAGCAGCAATGGCGCCTCGAGCAACAGCGGCTTTAGCGGTTTCGACGGCTTTAAGAACTTCGCATCGTCGTTCCAAGGCTTTGGCAAAGGTGGCGAAAGCGGGAACAGCGCCGGGAAAGGCGGCGGGAATGGCGGCGGGAATGGCGGCTTTAACTTCCGAAACTTCGCCGCCGGCAGTAAGAGCGGCAACGGCGCCGGCGGGATTGGCGGCAACCGGGGAAGCGCGAGCAGCGGCAGCGGCGGCGGCGGCGTGAGCGATCCGCAGAAGAAGCTCGCGGATATCGTGGCGGACGTGCGGCGGCTCGGGCTGTCGGGCATAGTTTTCGGCGCGATCTGCGGCATGCACGGCGTGGTTCACGGCACGCTGGGCGGCACGGGCGATCGCGTGCTGGATGGGCTCTCGCAGATCTGGGTGCGTGCATGCGAGTGAGGGAGGGGGATGTGAGTGAGAAAGGGAGTGAATGAGTGAGTAAGTGAGGGAGGGAGGGAGGGAGAGAGGGAGGGTGAAGGGAACGGGGGATTGAGTGAGTGGAGAAGTGGCGGAATATTCCTTCCTCCCCCTGACTGAACCACCAAGAAGATGTTGAAAAAATAAACCTGACGAGTCGAAAAAAACTATCATCCAAACAGCAATTGCTGGGCTTGGATTGAACGAAGGTATTATTGAAAACTGCATAGAAAATCTAAGAATCTCTGAACGAATCCAAGTAAGGGACCACATTCCCACTCACATCCTCGTACAATCACCGCCCTGTCTCCCTCCTCTACTCCCTGTTCCCCTACTCTCCCTCTCCCTGGCGCTTCCTCACCCCCCCCTTTCCTCCCCTCCATCCCCTCCGTGCCATACACGTGTCATCCACGTGGCATCCACGTGCGCCAGTTCATCTTCATCCTGCTGGACGTGGTCCTAACGGCTGCCACGTGGATTGCTGGAGGCGCCGCGGAGCTGCTGGTTCTGTCGTTCGCCATGGTGAGAGGCGCGTGGAGGAAGGCGAGGGGAGGGGATGGGGAGGGGAGGGGAAGGGAGGGGAGGGGGAAGGGGACGGGGAGCGAAGAGAGGGGGAGTGGATGGGGAGGGGGAGGGGGAGCGGAGTGGGAGGGGAGGGAAGGGGGGACAGGGATGGGGATAAGAAGAGGTGGGTGGGAAATAGGGGATATAATTATTTTGAGGGGAATGGTTAGGGGGCTGTGCTGCGCTGTGTCTCTCTGCTGGTGTGCACTGTGTGTGTGTGAGAGAGTGTGTGTGTGTGTGAGTGTGTAAGTGTGTGTGTGTGAGTGTGTAAGTGTGTGTGTGTGTGAGTGTGAGTGTGTGAGTGTGTGTGTGTGTGAGTGAGTGTGTGTGTGAGTGTCTCTCTCTCCCTCTCTCCCTCACTCACAATTGTCTACTCTCTCCCTTCCTACGCCCTGCCATGCCCCCTGCCCTACCCTGCCTGTCTCAGTGCCCTTGGTGCGGCCACCAGTTTCACTATCACAGGTATGCCCCTTTCTTCCACTGCCACGCCAACGACAGAACCAGCAGTTAAACTGTGCGTAGACTATGCCCCATTCTGTGGCCCCTGGGTGGTACTCCCTACCCTGCCCTACCCTGCCTGTCTCAGTGCCCTTGGTGCGGCCACCAGATTCACTATCACAGGTATCACGTTCAGGAAACCCTGCCCTACCTTGCTTGTGTCAGTGCCCCGCCCCATCAGCGTACCCCCGTCCTCGTTTTCGCCCCGCAATTCCCATGTGTTCCCATTTGTCACCTTCACCAATCTCTAGGCGCCTGAAAACCATCTCATCTCTGAATTCGACATCTGAGGTGCCTAACACCTGCTCCCATTGGTCACCCCCCACACGACGTTCCCCCCTCCCCTCCCCCCCATTTGTCTCTACAGGGACTTCTTTCAAGGAGTGATGGCGTGTCCTCGGTGCTTCCATCCCCTTCGATGTATGCCTTCCTTTCCACCCACACCCCTTTTCCTCCCCCTCGCATTTCCACCTCTTCCCAACTCTCCATCCTCATCCTCCCTCGCCGCTCGCCTCACTCCCTTGGTCTCATTATCCATCCTCCTCGTTGGTTCTGTCGCATCATCTGTCATCAGCACACGCAGGATGCACACACCTTCCTTCCCCCGGAAAGCCCATCCTGTGTCATTCGCCAGCTCTCTGTAACCATCTTCGTGTGCACAAGCTCGCCCCATCCCACCCCACACCACCCCATCCCACCCCACCCCACAATATGCAGTTGAGAACGGCATGTTCCTCCGTGACCGTCCGCGCTTCTCGCGTGTGGATTTCAGCTACGATGTCTTTGCCGAAGCAGAGGAGGAGGATGGTGAGTTTAGGGTGGTGATGGTCATGATGACCCTGACGTTGCCAGCTACGACAATGATGCAGAATTTACAAAAATGTTTCCATCCATCGCTCGAGCTTTTTTCGCTGTTCTTCGCCCCATTCCCTACCGCTTTTACTTCCTTTCCTCTCACATTCTCCTCTGCCTTACTTGTGTTTCCTGTTCCCCTGATTTTCCTGTGTTTTATATTTCTCTTCCCTCCTGTGTCTGGCCATCTGCAGCGCGTAAGCAGAAGGCCCTTCCTCCTGTTGTGGATGTGGATGCCACAATCACCGACAAGCACTGACACCTCTTTGGAACACAAGGTACAGCTGCCCCCAGGGCACAACCAGCGGCCCAACGAAGGTCACATGTGCCTGCCCAGCCAAATGCATCGAGAGAGAGCAACCAGAGCTCTTCCTTACGGCAAGAGGGACATGTTACAAGCAGTGAAAGGGGGTGCATTCTTATTTTCTGGCCTCGGGTTTCCTCGTAGGGTATGCGGCATTGGACGTTCCTTCCAATACTAGCGTCGAAGACCCCGTGTTATTCTTCATTGAATTTATTTAGGTGTGAGTGTGTGTGGGTGTGGGTGTGTGCGTGTCTGGATGTGTACGTGTGAGTGCGGGTGTGTGTGTGCCTGCAGGCCAAAGTGCGTGGTACGATAGTTCAAAAGATGCAGCCTGAGTTTTGTAACTAATGAAAAAGGACCTTTCACCATTTTTATCTAAAATATCTCCACCCCTGCTACAACATTACCTCCACTTCACTCTGGTAATATTTCTCCTCAGCCCCTGCTGTGGCATATTTTGCTCCACTGGACAGTTAGTCCAGTGTTTAGGCCTAATGATGGTACAATAACTAGTAGAAAGCAAGATAGTTGAAGCACCACCACCCCTGTTTGGTGTCCATGATTGATTTCTGTAGTCAGTACCTTTTGCAGAAGGCAAATGTAAGGATTTACAAATGAGGCACTCGTTAGCGAGGCCAACCCGATGGTCACGCGACGAACCTACCCTTCCTATTTCGTCGCACCGAACCACTCCCGAGTCGCCTCCGCACCAATCGCAACCATCACCGAGCCATCCTCGCCCAACCTCTCCGCCTTGCTAGTGTTGGAAACAATCGGTCCTAAGCGCCTCTTTTTGGGCTGAAAAAGCCCTTAGGATCTTTGCAGGGGTGAACTCTGGGTAGAGTTGGTGTAGAAGCGGAGGTGTAGTAGCGGAAGCGTTTAATAAAGAGTTGTGAACCACCTTGCGCTAGTATGTGAGGGCAAAGTAAGTTAATTAAAACAAAGAGATACAAGATTATTTAAGGGTACAAGGAATATGAAAGGATACAGTTATAACTGTTTTACTTATTGCTGTTGCGGTTCGATACAGTGACGACTCGGGCAACTGCTCTGTAACGAGTCAGTTGTGTGTCCTTGCTGTCGCGCTGTATTTGTCAGGTCAAAGGTCGCTGACCTTTGACTTTCGCGTAACCTCTAGCGGTTACTTCAACCTCTGAGGGTTGACTCGCTGGTGCCTCGATATGCTTTGCTTCGCTTGTGTCTTAGTGTTTCGACACGACGGAGGCGCTTAGGACCGATTGTTTCCAACACTCCCCTTCGCTTCTGGAGTGTCGCTGACGTGGCTCTGTCCAGTCAGCAGCATGCAGTATTCGAACTTCTGCTTTCCGAGCTTCTTGGTCAGGTAACCAGCTGCCATCTCGGACGTGGGGCAGTATGACAGCTCGAGCATTCCCTTCTCGATCTCGTCCTTCACGAAGAAGTATCGCAGGGCGATGTGTTTCGTCCTGTTCGCGAAGCCGTTCTTGTTGGCGATGCGAATTGCCGACTTGTTGTCGCAGAACAGGGTAAAGTTGGGTAACTCGGCTAACTTCGCTTCTTCCAGCAACTCGCGAAGATAGAGTCCTTCCTTGGTGGCTGAGCAGAGTGCAATATATTCTGCTTCAGCTGACGAGAGAGCAATTAGTTCCTGCTTGCTCGATTGCCAGGAGATAGGTCCGATAGGCTCGAAGCGGTAGATGTAGCCGGTGCGCGATCGTCTGTTGTCGGAGTCGCCCGCGTGATCTGCGTCGACGTAACCGATTAGCTTAGGCGTTGTAGTTGCGTTCTTATGGTAAGTCAGGCTGACCGTCGGGGTACTGACAAGGTAGTGAAGAGCGCGGTCGAGCTCCGCCAGATGTTCCGCTTCAGGCTTCTTCAGGTGGGTGGCGAGCTGGCTTGCAGAGTAGGATAGATCTGGGCGGCAGGTGAGAGCTGCGAAGAGAAGGCAGCCCGGCTTTCTCTGGTAGTCGCGTGTGCCGGCGGGCTTCATTAGAGCGGAGCCTTCCTTGTTGCTTGCTGTCGTGTAGCGGTACGGTGTGGAGATATCAGTCGGTGTGAGTGCGAAACGCTTGGCGATGGTGTCGGCGTATTTTGCGGCGCTGAGGTAGATAGCGTCTTCCTCTTCCCGGATGTTGAGGCCGAGGTACTGTGTGACGGTAGATGAGACCGTGAGTGTGAGGTCTTGCTGTAGCTCCCCTTCGAACGAGGTTGTAATGCCGTCAGTTGAGCCGATGTAGAGCAGATCGTCTACATAGACGATTAGCAGGATGTAGTCGGTACCCTTCGTGAGCCGGTACATGCCCTGGTCGTGCGGCAATTGCTTGAAGCCGATGCGAATGAGGCGAGCGTGTAGGTATTGTTGCCATAGTCGTGGAGCTTGCTTGATGTCGTAGACCGACTTGAGTAGTTGACAGACGTGGTTCGAGTCCGTGCTGGAGCCGTGTGGTAGCTCGACGAAGATCTCTGCGTCAACAGGTGCGTAGAGGAATGCGTTAGCGACGTCGATTTGCCGCAGCTTCTTCTTCATGGCGGCGATCGCGAGAAGGATGCGTAGCGAGGTGTGTCGGCTGACCGGAGCGAATGTTTTGGTGAAATCGCGTCCGTGCTCTTGGTCGAAGCCGCGTACGACCCAGCGAGCTTTGAATTTGTCAATGGTGCCGTCGGCCTTTGTCTTCACACGGAAGACCCACTTCCCGGTGAGCACTGTCTTGTTCCGTGCTACGCCGATAGGAACCACTTTCCACGTGTTGCGTTCCTCCAGTGCCTTCAGCTCCTTGTCCATGGCTTCGCGCCATTTTTCCTTATGTTCCCCCCCCAGAGCCTGTTGAACTGTCGCAGGCTCTTTAGGAGTGGCGGTGCCATAGACTTCGGTGACGAGTCCGAGAATCTGCAGTCCACTCTGTGAGTAGCGGGGAAGATTTACGTCCTCGGGATAAGCTGCTTCATCTCCCGCTTCTGGATCAGGTATGAAGTTTGGTCCTACTCGTTCTGCTTCGTTGGTATTGACTGTCGCAGGTGTTACGTAACCGTTGTCGGCGAAATGGTAGAAGGTTTCGGCGTTGGCACTTCGCGAGGGTTATCTTCGTCCATGGGAACGCTGACGGAGCAGAACGGAAGAGGTCCGGCTTCTTTTGATGCGTTGTCCACCTTCTGCTCGTCCCAGTCAGCTTCGACCGCTGCTGAGGCGAAGGCTCGGTCAGCACGAAAACCACCTGTGGGATCTTCGTCTTCTCGCAGGTTGGCAAGGTATGTCTGGAGCGTGAGTCATTCGTAAACAATTACATCACGTGCTACTACTGTTTCCTTGGAATGGACGTCGAAGATTTTCCACGCGTTGTAGTTCTTTTTTATTCCCAGGTGTAGTCCCAACTGTGCTCGTTGAGAAAATCGGCCCGCTCGTGCTGCTGGGGGTCGGTACTGTACCATGCATCCGAATACTCGTAACATTTTTGTGCTGCCCTGTTTCCCTGTCCATAGCAGATGCGGTGATGCGTTGTTTGGAAGCGATGATGACGACAACAAGTTGTGCAGCATGACGGCGTGGTCCATTGCCGCAGGCCACTGGTGGTTGGGTAGCCGCATGCCACGTAACAGTTTGCGCATGTTGTTCTGCAAGGTCCTGTTCATTCTTTCTACTACACCTTGCTGCTGATGGGCGTAGGGAAGGGAGATGAGCCGCTTGATTCCCCTTTCCGCCAGGTACTGCGTGAATCGCTGAGAGGTGTATTCTCCTCCTCCGTCTGGCTGGAAGCTTTTCAGTTTCACGCCCGATTCTCTCTCTGCTACTGGTAGCCACGCAACGAAGGCTGGGAATGCCATGTCGCGGCTAGGGAGGTTTAGGTGCCAGACGTAACGGGTGGCGGCGACGATGAAGGTGATCATGTAGTTGTATGTTACTTGTCCTGGTTCCCGATTGAATAGGATGTCGCTATACACCTTCTCGAGTGGTGCATACGCGGGTGCGCTCGGGTTGTGATGAGACGTAAACGGTCGACGTGGTAAGTCACCTTCAGGGCAGGTGAGGCACGTTCCGCGTACTCCTGCTCTTATCGTATTGTTTAATACTGTGTTGCTTGGGTGTCCCATCCTTGCGTGCCAGGTGCTTTCGTTGTCGCGATGTCCGGGTGATCGTCGGTACATATCGGAGTTGGAGTAGAAGTTGGCGGTGAAGTTGGCGCTACGATGAACTTCTCGTGGTGCTGGGTGTAGTTGTTGCGCGGGTGTCGGTGGTGTGTCGTCGATGAGGAGCGGTGTCGTTGAAGGACCAGCAATTGGTGTTGACGTTCCTGCTGCTGCCGTTGATGGTTCTGCTACTGCCGATGTTGTCTCTGCTGCTGCTGATGTTGTCTCTGCTGCTGCCGATGTTGTCTCTGCTACTGCCGATGTTGTCTCTACTGCTGTTGATGTTGTCTCTGCTGCTGTTGATGTTCTCTCTGCTGCTGCTGATGTTGTCTGAATTGTTGCTAACGCCCTTGTTCTTTCTGCTTCGGGGATGGTGTGTGAATACCAGAAACCTTCTGGACTAAAGTCTGGGTCCAGGTCTGGAGGGTGTGTCCAGTTGGTGAAGTTAACGATGGCGTCGCTGTCGGCGGTGCCGAGGTCAGGAACGAAATCAAGAACGAAGACGTTGTTCTTGAGGACCGCCTTGCCGATGTAGAGACCTCCTCTCCCGTGATACAGCTTGAATTCTTGGGTGGTGCTGTCTGCTTCGAGGTGAATCCGCTTTGCCATTAGCTGACTGAGGCTCAGAAAGTTGTAGCCGAGTCCCTCCGCGATTAGTACTTTTGACATCTGCAGTATAACGTTTGTTTCCCTTGACTGAAGTTGAACTATGCCTTGTCGTCGTGTTCGCAGGTTCTGATTGTTGGCGACGGTAATGACAAATTCGCATTGAAGTTGGTGTTCTCGTTGAACGAAGCGTCCCGAGGAGCACATGTGCTGTCCGCAGCAACTGTCCAAGAACCATGTGTCCCTTC